AAGGAGTTGTCCCAAAGTGTCAAAACCCGGAATTCGCGAGGAAAAAGAGGACGCGGCAATAGATATCAAACTTGAAGCTTAACAATCATTTCTGGGCTTATAGGATCCCGAGCACAACCCAAACATGAATATACAATCCCGGTGCCCACACATAGGATCATCCCCACACATGTGCACACCCAAAAGCACATGGCTTTCACAACAATTTAGGCAACTGGTGCCTCAACCGAGTTTAAATACGATACTTACCTCAAGAAACTCAAATTACTCTGCTAGCAAGCCCTTGCCTTGCAAATCGGCCTCTGAACGTCTCGAATCTAGCAATTAACAATTAGATAAAATTAACATGAGCTAAAGGAATCAATTCCATAAGAAAATACTAAGCTCTTAATAAAAGTCAAAAAGTCAACTCAGAAGTCGGCCCTCGGCCCAACATCCCGGAATCTAATAAAAGTCACAAAATCTGGAAGCCCATTTAACCACGAGTCTAACCATACAAAAATTATCAAAATCCAATACCAAATCGACACCCAACTCCCCAATTCAACTCCTTAAATACGTAGCCTCCAACTCCCAAAATTACACCTCAAAACCACGCAATCTAGGTGGAAAAATCAATGGGGAAACATAATTATTGAATAAATTTAACCACAAGTGACTTACCTCAAGAATCCCTTCGAAATCCCTCTCAAAGGTTGACGAAGCCCAATTTTGAAATGTCCAAAATGAAGAAAAGCTCGAAAACCTTCGAACACAATCATTGCCCAGTGCTTTTGCACCTGCATCGAAGATTCCGCTTTTGCAAGACCGCACCTGCAGTAAAACCTCCGCATCTACGGAGTCCACCTAAGCTCCTAGACTCCGCACGTGTGAACCACAATCTGCATCTGCGGAAGTGCTTCTACGCCCACACGTCTGCTTCTACGGAAACCCTAACCACTTTAACCTCCCTTACTCTTTGCTTCTACGACCATTTTCCTGCATGAGCGACTCTGCTTATGTGACCTCCTCATCGCAACTACAACCACTATCCATCCCCTTTAGTCCCACTTCTGCGCTCCCCTTCTCGCTTTTGTGAGCTTGACCCTGCGATCACCACTTTGCAGGTGGGATTACACGAGAATTGGAGAACTTCAACAGCCTCTCAACTTCCAAACTTGATCTGCTAACCATCTGAACTCCACCGGAGGCCCCCGAAACCTCAACCAATTATACCAACATGTCCGAAAACACGATATGAACTTAATCGAGACTTCAAATCACATCAAACAATGCTAAAACCATGAATCACGCATCGATTCAAGCCTAATGAACTTTTAAACTTCTAAATTCTACATTCGATGCCGAAAACTATTAAATCACGTCCGATTGACCCCAAAATTTGCACACAAGTCAGAAATGACCCCAATCCGAGCCGGTAGCCATAATGTCCTCTCTCAATCAAACTTCTAAATTTCCAACTTCCACCATTTCAAGCCTAATTCCACTACAGGCCTCCAAATCACAATTCGGACACACTCCTAAGTCCAAAGTCAGCCAATGATTCTAACAAAACCATCAAAACTCCATTCCGAAGTCATTTACACGTAATTCAACATCCAGTCAACCTTTTCAACTTAAGCTTCCAACTTCAAGACTAAGTGTCTCAATTCATTCTGAAACCTCTCCGGACCCGAACCAGCTACCCCGACAAGTCACATAGCAGCTATAAAGCACAAAATGAGTAGTAAATAAGGGAGAAGGAGGTATAGGACTACAAATCTCAAAACAACTGGCCGGGTAATTACATTTTCCCTCTCCTAAACAAATATTCGTCCTGGAACGGGTCTAGAAACGTACCTAGAGTCTGAAATAGGCATGGATATCTACTCTATGTCTCTCACTCAATCTCTCAAGTAGACTCCTCAACTGGCTGGCCTCTCCACTTCACCTTCACTGAAGCTATATCCTTTTACCTCATCAAGTGGGTCCCTCTTGTCATAAGAAGGACTTTAGGCAAAACATCTAAAAAGCTCTTGAAAACATGTGGAAGGGGTGAAATATACATGGTATAGCATGTGAAAGTATGAGAGAGCATATGGCGGCATATGAAAGTAGGGTGTTGCATGTGATGAAGCATGTGAAAGCATGTGGAAGTGGGACGCAAGATGGACACCGACTCCACATCATAAGTCAAATCACCAACCAACTGAACTGTGTTGAAATCCAAAACATTAGACAGATCGCCGACATGCTTCCAGAGCATAGAATCATGAAATACTGGATGCACACTCGACAGACTAGGTGGCAAGGTAAGCTTATAAGCCACCTCTCCAATCTTCTAAAGACCTCAGACGGCCCAATATTGTAACAACCCGACCGTTCGTTTTGAGCTCTAGCACATCATTCAGTGGTTTGAGGCCTTGAGTAGCTACAACTTAGGTATCACAACTTGTACGTGTGGTCGGAATTGGATTTCACAAAGTTCAGAGTTGATTCAGAGGGAAAATTCTAATTTCGGAAACTTTAAGTTGGAGGAATTGACCAAGGTTTGACTTTTAACTAAACAACCTCGTAATCAAGATTTGAAGGTTCCAATAGGTTCTTATGATGATTTTGGACTTGAGCGTATGTCCGAATCGGGTTTTGGATGACCCGGGAGTGTTTCGACGCCTATTGTTGAAAGTTGGCATTTTGGAAGAATTTTATATATGTGGGTTGAAGTGTATTTTAACTTTATCAATGTTCGTTTGAGATTTAGAGCCTAGGAATAGCTGTGTATGGTGATTCTAGTCTTAGGACTACATCCGGATGTGGATTTGGAGGTCCGTAGGTCATTTCAGGATTATCTGGCGAAAGTTGAAATTTGAAGGTTTTTTTTGGGAAGTTTGACGGGGAGTGGACTTTTTGATATCAGGCTCAGATTCTGATTTCAGAATTGGAGTAGGTTTGTAATACCAAATGTGACTTGTGTGCAAAATTTGAGGTCAATCAGACGTGATATGATAGGTTTCGATATTGAATGTAGAAGTTAGAAGTTCAGTAGTTTATTCGGCTTGAGTAGATGCGTAATTCATAGTTTTGATGTTATTTTGTATGATTTTAGGCCTCGAGCAGGTCCATGTTATGTTATGGAGCATGTCAGTGTGATTATACGGGGTCCCGGGGGCCTCAAGTGTGTTTCGGATGTGTTTGAGTTATATCGCGCTCTTATTTGATGTTTCAACGCCGTTTCTTTGGATACAAAGGGTACTATATTGAGAAAATAACATTGAAAAATTAGATTCATATCGTAATTACGGAGTCATAGCAATAAGAATCATCGAATTCTGATGTCGTATGAGAGAGTTATGCTCATTTTCGTGTCGGAAAAAGATTGCTAGTTTCTGGTGCCAAATTTGTTCTTCGCGGACGCGAGGGAGGTCCCATAAATGTGAAGAAGAAAATTTGGGTTTACTAGTCAACGCAAAGAATTTCTCTTTGCGAACGAAGGATTTCTTGCGAACGCAAAGAAGAATAATTGTCTGGACAGTGTTTTAAACCGAGAATTTTAGTATTTTGGGCATATCTTGAGTTCTAGAGCGTTCCGTTTGAGGTGATTTTTTTGGTGTTGTTCTCGTATCAACAAGGGATTTCGGAGCTATGAGCATTAGTTTGAGGTTTTAGAGAGGCTTTGGAGTCAGTTATGGAACTTCGGAGCGAGGTAAGTGTCACACCTCCTTTTTAATACCCCGGAAGGGGATATAATGGAGTTTTTTCCAATTTAAGTGACAACCGAAACAAGATTATTTTTTAAGTTCAGAGTAGCCAATTGGGATAATTTATGGTGTCCCAATTCACTGGTTTAGAATCCCGAATCGAGGAAGTTTTGACTCTATTTTACAGTCCGCGAAACATAGAAATCCGGGTAAGGAATTTTGTTAACCTGGGAGAAGGTGTTAGGCATTCTCAGGTTCCGTGGTTTTAGCACGGTCGCTTAACTATTTATATTGGCCTAATTATCTGATTAATTACACATTTTAAACATACATGCATTTTTAACTTTTTAGCCACTTTTAATGTTTCAGGAAAATTCAAGGTTATTAAAACATACCATAAGCCACGCTACATGAAATGCACCCGCGGTTCACGACTCGTTCTATTTAACCTTATTGGAAATTGGAGTCGGGTCACTTGAAATGTACGCCCGAATTTTAGTAATTACAAATCACAACTACGTCACGGGAACCGTACCCGTAGTCATGATAAATGTTTAGTTAACGCGCCTAAAACAAACTGGGAGATTCATTTTTAGTAACCAAATTATAATATTTGTGAGTGACATGAGTGGTTTAAATGTTGATGTCACACCTCAATCCATTCTTGCTTTAAGAAAATTGTATTTAACTAAAGCCATCTAATGATGCTTGGATTTCACCTCAATTAAATTCAATCTAAAGTTACTCAAAACAAACCTACATGGGGTATTATATTTAAATTATTAGCTTTTTGGGGCATGGTTCCAGGCTAGCAATAAGCCCAGAAATGCCCGGAGGTCCCAAAAGGGAAATTGGGCTCAATATGAGGCCCAGAATTGAAACAGCATCGGCGAGAGGCATTTGGTGAGAAGTGGGCCAACTACACAACCTAGTTGTATGACTTATCGTAGTTACTTGAAGCAAATTACATGAACGTCTTGACATCGAGCCATGCCTTAAGTGAAAACATATAAGAAAAACGAAATAATCAAACTAAGGCTGCAGTGCCTTAGCTTGAGACTGGGCTGCCTCGACTTGGGACCATGTCGGGCCTCATTCGAAGCTCAAAGGGTCTCTTACCCTATTACAGCCCAAATGCTTGCAAATTTTAACTAGATTGAAAGGCATATTCTGAGGCTAAATCACATTACTAAACTAATGAGGCACACATTATAACATCCTACACATAATCTATTTCATTATCAAAACATAATAGAATTCCTAACTTTAACCAAACGTCAACATGATTTCAAAGACATATGGCTTACTAACATGAATTCATTCTTGTCTAATTCTAACATCTATATATGAGTATTTACAGAATTAATAGCAAGCAAGCTAAAAATGTTCAGTCACCTAAACTCATATGGTAACCTCACAAACCATAGTTTAATACAGTCCCAAAATTACAACTAGAACCTATACAAACTTAACTCTGAACATTTGAACTTTGAAACTTACTAAAGAATAGAATGCTAATGCTAATACTTAATCACAACTAGAAAACAATAATTACTAAAACAATTGACATAGTAGATACTAAACGAAATAAAACTGGATCTGAAAAGTCCATTCCCATTTAAACACTGTTAGCACTTAAACTTGTCATTTCAGGGGTTGTGAAAATACCTGGATACAGCCAAAAAACAACAAAAAAACTTCACCAAAAGATAGTGAGATCAGCAGAGCTTTAGCAGCAATACAACCAGTTTAATCCATGTTTAGAACCCAAAAAAAACTTGCAAAGTATTGAAGCTCTTTTTAAAACTCAGAAAAATGAAAATCAGCTACCCAATATAACAGTATTCGAGCCCTTTTATTGGTGTTTTTCAGTTCTGAAAGTTCTATCAGTGTGTGTATTTTCAATGAAAGAAATAGTGCTCTTATAAGCCTCCAAGGGGCCATGTGCTGGATAACCAACAAGGAAATATTCCCTTCCAGCCTGAAAATGGCATCTTTTTTAACCACCTGGGACAACTGGCTGTCCCCTATTGGTTCAGCATTTTGTTGCAAACCAAATGAGGCCTTGCCCCCTATTCTAGAGCCTTCCAAATAGNTTATAATGATTATAGACTAATGCAAACAAAACAAAAAATCTGAATCAAAACAAGGAAGATCAAAATGGAGCAAAAATTCTAATTCACTTGAGCTTTCAACTAAACCTAACTTTTTACTCAGATATTGGAATCCAAATGAAACAAGGATATAACCCGTATTTACTTAACACTAATCACAAACAAATACAATTAACCTAACTAATTCATGCAAGCTAATACATAAAACAATTATGCAAACTGAATCCGTTAACTAGCTTAGCCCAAATCATTTTGAACTTTCTAACCCTAACTAATTAGCCTATGAGATTCAAACGAGATTAAACTAACCAATTACTAAAAGAAAGAACATAGATGAATGGCTTTGAATTGACACGGACAAACAGATGAGTTACATTGATCATAGAATGAGAACATCAAAGAGAAAGAAGAAGAAAAGGACAGGAAAAAAAGAAGAAATAAAGTTGAAGCAAGAGAGAAAATTACCTATGTTAGCATCTGGATCCACAAGACACCTGACCAATTTTCTTCAAAGAGCGAAATGAACCATTAACTAACATTAATGGACTGTCCTTGACAAAGATAGTCGATTAATGTAAGTTTGGGGTTCACTCGACCACCTACTGACCAAGAACAGAAGGAAGGGAAATTTAGGGTTTTTTCCGGAACCCTAGATTCAAAATTCGACAGAGTTAGGGTTGATTTGGGAGGAGCCAAGGGGATATTTGGGAAGAGGAGGGGTGAGGGGTTGCATGATGTGAGTTTGGGGTTATTTGGGGTGAGTTAGAGTTTTGGGGATTCTGAGTTTAGATTCAAGATTCGAAAGGTTCGAGGGGGATTTGGGGAAAAAACTAAGAGATTTGGAAAGAGGAAGGCGAGGAGATTATATGGTGTAATTTTGGTGGTGTTTGGAGGTGGTCCGCCGCCGTGAGGCGATTTCCGGCCGGCGGACCATGGCAGAGACGGTGGAGTAAAATAGGGTGGCTAGGGTTCCAGTCTCTAAGATTTGAGAGAGGAGAGTAAAATGAGTTTGAGGGAACCGAGTTTCGGACATATTTATGTAGAATACGAGACCAATTCTCATCCGTTAGATTCATGATGATCAACGACTGGGATCTAAAGGGGGTTAATACGGGGTCGTTTTGGATGGAGAGGGATTTGGACCGGGTAGAGCTGGGTTTTTGGCTTGGAGTGGACTAGTTTTTGAACGGGTTTTGGGGCAAAAGGGTTTGGGCTTCAACAATTTTAGCCCAACAACCCCTTTATTCTCTAAGTCCTTTTCTTTTCAACCTTTTCTTTTATTTACTTTTCTTTTCTTTTTCTTTAATGAAAATCCTATATTAACTCTTAAATTGATTAAATTGTAAAATTAAATTAATTACTAATTACACAAATTATAACAATTACTTGATCCTAAATTCAAAGAGAAAAATCAATAATCTAAAAGTTAAAAGGGTAAAATGTAAAACGAGCCATTTTTGTGATTTTTATTTTTAATGTGCAATTAATTAATTAATTAATCCTAAAATGTGAACAAACAATCTAAATGCATTGCATGGTATTTATTTTTTGGTATTTTTCCATGATTTTAATAAAATAAAGATCCACAGAAACGCAAACAATTAACACAAATTCCTACAAAAATCCTGTAAAATTGAAAATAATTGGAAAAAAAATATTTTTTTAATTTGTAGGAGTATTTAATATATGGAAAAAATCACATGCTCACAGCTGCCCCTCTTTGCTCGGAAACACGAAAGTTTTCGGGCAAAGATAAAGTGAGTGGATACGAGCGATTTTTGCCCGTTTGAATACTCTGTGGGAAGTATTTTTGAAAGATCTGACCGAAGCTTGCTTCCGAAGTTGCCTACATATCCTTGGCTATAAAGGAATCAGGTCTGTATAGTTCGGAAAGTTTTGGTAGCTGGGACTACCGGGAAGTTGTGATTTCACTGTTGCTGCTATCGCTACTGCTTGCTGAACTCCTTATTACACCAGGACAAAATAAAAAGAAGCTAAACTATGATCTATAAATTACAAGAATCCTATCTACCATCTACAAACTTGTTCTTGCTTCTTTTACAGTTCTGTGGTGCATCTTGAACTGTTGACCTGCACTCTCGAGACGAATTTCTGTTGTTGCTAATGCGAATTGAATTTTGAAATGAGTTTCCTTGTTTTCCGGGTGGGTGCCTGATTATCGAAACTTGAACTGCATTCCTGTGTTCTCCAGGTGGGCGCCTAATTGACAAAACTAGAATCGTATTCCTTTGTTCTCCAGGTGGGCGCCTGATTGCCAAAACTTGAGCTGTATTCCCTTGTTCTCTAGGTGAGCGCCTGATTCCCAAAACAAGAATTGTATTCCCTTGTTCTCTGAGTGGGCGCCTGATTGCCAAAACTTGAACTGTATTCCCTTGTTCTCCGGGTGGGCGCCTGATTAACAAAACTTGAACTTCATTCCCTTGTTCTCCAGGTGGGCGCCTGATTGCCAAAACTTGAACTGTATTCCCTTGTTCTCCGGGTGGGCGCCTGATTAACAAAACTTGAACTTCATTCCCTTGTTCTCCAGGTGGGCGCCTGATTGCCAAAGACATGAACTATATTCCCCTGTTCTCCTGGTGGGCGCCTGATTACCAAAACTTGAACTTTTTTCCCTTGTTCTCTAGGTGGGCGCCTGATTTCCAAAACGTGAATTGTATTCCCTTGTTCTCCAGGTGGGTACCTGATTTCCAAAACTTGAACTGTATTCCCTTGTTCTCTAGGTGATTGCCTGATTACCAAAACTTGAATTGTATTCTCTTGTTCTCCAGGTGGCGGCTGATTGCCAAAAACTTGAATTGTATTCCCTTGTTCTCCAGGTGGGCGCCTGACTGCCAAAACTTAAATCGTATTCCCTTGTTTTCCAGGTGGGCGCCTGATTACCAAAACTTGAATTGTATTCCCTTGTTCTCCAGGTGGGCGCCTGATTACCAAAACTTGAATTGTATTCCCTTGTTCTCCAGGTGGGCGCCTGATTACAAAAACTTAAGTTGTATTCCCTTGTTCTCCAGGTGGGCGCCTGATTACCGAAAACTTACACTGTATTCCCTTGTTCTTCAGGGGGGGTTCCTGACTGCCAAAATCTAAATTGTATTCCCTTGTTTTCCATGTGGGCGCCTGATTGCTGAAAACTTGAACTGTATTCCCTTGGTCTCCAGGTGGGAGCTCGAATTTGAGCGAGATTTTGAGGAATTTTCAGAGATATCGATTGGATAATGATTCTTAACTTTTGCTTGAAACCCATTAATCCAAACATGAATTCATCGTTTAATTTCGGATTGGAGATGAAAATTGGGGAAAAGCTGGAAGAAAGTTCTTAGACCTAGAATTCGACTTTTGATTGGGAATTTTACCTTAGATTTGGATAATTTTGGTATGCATGAACTCGGGAGAGTGTGAGGATTCTGAAAATATAAATTTTACCCAATTCCGAGACGTGGGCCCGAGGGACATTTTGGTCATTTTAACTAATTTCGCGTATTAGCTTAGAATTTCTTTGTAGAATCAGTTACTTGAAGTGTTATTTATATTATACAATTGAATTGAATAGATTTGGGTCATTTGGAGTCGAGTTCTCGTGGCAAGAGCATGTTTCAGATTGATTATTGAGCCGATTCGAGGTATGTGGCTTGTCTAACCTTGTGTGGGGGACCTTCCCCTTAGGATTGGTATATTTAGTAATTGAAATGCCTTGTACTAGAGGTGACGAATGCGTACTTGTGCTAATTGTTGGAAATCCGGTTTTCATTAAGTAATCACTAGTATGTTTCCTTTCCTGTTTTTATTACTTGCACTATTAAGCCTGTTGTTAGTTTAGGAAAGCATGTCTAAGTGACTTAATTGCTTTATTTTCTCAACTTGCCTTACCTGAATTCTGTGCAGCATGCTAGGCTAGAATCACGTATTGCCTTAATATGAAATTTTGTCATTTCTGTGTATTTTCCTGTTGCTGCTGTGTAGTTATTTTGGGACTACGGATGTGGGATTTCAGTAGATCTGCCAGCACAGTTATATGGAACTACGGGAATGCACCCGGTAGATTCCTCCAGTACTGGGTATTTACATTTGGGACTACGGAACGGGATTCCGGTAGATTCCCGCGCACTATGAGTTGGACTATGGGATGGGATCCTGAGAGATCCATTGGATATGTACATATGGGACTGCAGGACGGTATCTTGGGAGATCCCCGATTGTTATTTTGGTGCTAAGTCGCATTTCTTTCCGTGTTTTGCCTTGTCTCTGTAATAGTTATTGTTGCCCTTTTTATATCCTATGTTACTTTTACCGCTGTATTTATTTACACTGTTCTGTTCTACACTATCAAACTTTATATTTTATTTGACCTCAGTAGGGCGCTGACCTTCCTCGTCACTACTCGACTAAGGTTAGGCTTGGCACTTATTGAGTACCGCTGTGGTGTACTCATGCCCCTTTCTGCACATGTTTTTCATGTGTAGATCCAGGTACTGCGACTTAGCCCTATCACCTGCGAGGTGACTGCTCTAGAGACTTCGAGGTACATCTGCCGCATCCGTAGACCGAGGAGTCCCTTTCTATTCTAGCTTTTAAATATTTGCCCTTATGTATTTCTTTTCCTTGTTAGATATTCTGGAGTTAGACACTGTTAGACATTCAAAGGCTTGTGGTTCCGTGAGTTTCCAAGATTTTGGGATAGTGTATTAGATTCTGAGAAGTTGTGTTGTATATGCCAAGCGGCATTTTAAATATTGTTTCATTTGATTATTTTTGGCTTTTGATTATTTCTTCCACAAATTTCATTTATTTTCCGCATTTGTTAGGCTTACCTAGTCGTAGAGACTAGGTGCTGTCGCGATGGTTCATGGAGGGCGAACTAGGGTCGTGACAGTATGTCACATGTATAAGTTTTTATATCATGTTGGGTCGCCCTATGTCTAGCGGTCCCTTATGTTTTCTTCTGGTTATCTCATGATGGCCCTTTTGGACCATTTACCCATGATGGTGTGATAAGAAAGATACGTTACGTTGGTACTCAGTTGAGTAATGTACCGGGTGCCTGTCGCGGCCCTCCGACTTGGATCGTGACAAAAGTGGTATCAGAGCAGTTCTTTCCTAGGGAGTCTACAAGTTGTGTCTATGAAAGTCTAGTTTATGGGTGTGTTGTGCACCACACTTATAAGCAGGAGGCTACAGGGCATGTAGGATTGTCACTCTTTCTTCTTATTATAGATCGTGTGGTAGAGCTCAGTTGTAAGAATTCAAACTCCGAAATTTGACTTTAGTCGTAATACAATGATACCTATATCCATAAACACAGTTGGTAAGAGATTGAATATAGCTCTGGAAGAGCTGAGACACCTTGTGAGACAGTTGGTAACATTTTCGAAGGATATTGCGAATGTGGTAATTGTTCTCCTTATGAGACACCCCGATGGTGCAATCTAGAATAGTAGATTTAGATATGAATACTAGAATATCTGGAAAAACTTAGAACATTGGCAATGGAATCCTAGAAGGGATAAATATTTACCTTTGTATGGCTCCTGTCCCTAGTAAAGAGAGAATGTTAGGCGACCCGAAGAGCTAGTGGAGCTAAAAGCGAAAGAATGTTTTGTTGATGTTTTCAGAATAAGGTGATAAACAGAAATATTAGCAGGTGTCACACCTCCCTTTTCTACCCCGAAAGGGGGTATTGGGGGAGTTTTTCCAATTTAAGTGACAAAATTGAAACAAGATTACTTTATTCAGATTCAGAGTCACCACTTGAGATAATTTATGGTGTCCCAAGACACCGGTATAAAATCCCGAATCGAGGAAGTTTGGGTATGTTTTACAGTCCGCGAAATACAAAAATACGGGTAAGGAATTTTGTTAACTCGAGAGAAGATGTTAGGCATTCCCAGATTCCGTAGTTTTAGCACGGTCTCTCAACTATTATTAATTGACCTAATTACCTTACTAATAACATATTTTATACCTATTATGCATTTTAACCTTTTAAACCGCTTTTAATTATCTATGGAATTATTTCTGGAACAAGTTACGATTGTCGTACACTTGTTTATTTTTGTACATGTTGTGAATCGTGTCACGAAAACCGTACCCACAATCTACAACACGTGTATTTTATTAAGATTCGAAGTTGTGGTCGGGTCACATGTAATGTGCACCCGAATTTGGGAATTACGTATCGTAACCATGTCACAGGAACTGTACCCATTGTCACAATGATTCATTATTAATTACGCTAAAAAGCAAGCTACGAGGTTTATGAATTATTTTCTAAACTACTTTGAGATTACGCGTGAAAGTCCTGCGATTATGGAGCACTTTTGCTAAAAGAGATTTCATGCTCATATCCTTTTAGCTTCTCCTTTTATTAGACCGAGCACGATACCTAAAGCATGTAGACAAATCAAATATAATGGGCATCGGTCTCTGCCCCACTCCCACGGCCCCAACAATCAGTCAAACAATTTTAACAAAAATCAAATGAGCAAACAGTAACAATCAAGAGCAAGAAATAAAGAGTTAATTAATTAGACTACAAAGAAAGAAAGACACAGAAATTTGATCCAAGCCTGACAAGAGCCAATCTTCAAACTAAAACTTAAAAATATGTGTATTAACCTTAAACCCCTTTCGATCAAATTTTAGTTATGTCTTATTTCCACAAACTAATCACACCACTCCATTGTAAATGTTAAACCAAATCTATTAGTTCCAATAAATATCCAAACGTAAAGCGCACCAGAGAGGAAAAGCAGGCAATTTGTGAGTTACAATAAGCCAAACAAGACCATATTCGACAAAATTCTAAATAACACCAATGAATAGAACAGCTCATATGGTCAAAACATCACATAAGATACCAGCTAGGAATCCAATAGCATCACCCAAATCCATCCGAACAAATTAAACTAAACAAGAGCAATAAAATGACATTCAAAAATAGAGCATTGATAGCTTAACAAAATAATAAAATCATGATGTTAAGCAAACAAGAAGTAGAAGGACATGTGAGATCGACCTCAATGAATCTGAAGCTTAATTCTACGGCAACTTTGAAACACGAGCACCGGAACCTCGGACAGGATTTTCGCCAAAAAATCTCACTAAACACTAACTTGATGGGTTGAAAATGGCATACAATAGAGATTCACCGATAATGAAAGATGATGCAAGGGATAGAAACCAATTGCTTAAAGTTTCCGATAGGCTCGACCACTGATTACGGGGACAATAGTATTACAGTGGGTTTCAATGGATTTTGTGCAGGAGATAGATAGAAATAGGGATGACGGGCTAGTGGATCTCTATGTTTGAATTCGAGAGGAAGATGTCTCGATTGCATGTGGAGACACTGCTTGGTGGTGAGAGGGTGGGGTCGCGATGACGGTTGGTGGCTGACATTTGGTGGTGTGAAGTGAAGAAGCAGCAGCCGCTGCTGAAAATCGAAAGAAGAAGAAGGTCCAGCCTTTTTCTCTTCTAGTGTGTGTGACTTCGGAGATAGGGATGCAGGCGGAGTTGCTTCTCTGTTGAAGACGTTCAGGGGGGGGGGGCTTTCTTTGGTTTTTTGCGGCTGATCTTCTGAAGGTTAGAGATGACAAACTTTTGTGTTTTGGAGGGTCTCTAGGTTAGGGAAAGTCCAAAAATGGCTAAAGCTTAGAGAGGAAAATAGGTTTAGGATTGTTTTTGAAGTCTTTCTAGGGGTTTAGGGGTTTTGGTCTTGGGTCACTACGGGCTAGATCCGAATTGGGCCAAATTTTGGCCAAATTTACCTTTAAAAGTGGCCATTTAACTCTACTACACTAAAAAATATTAATTCCTAAAATAACAACTATAAAATTGTGAAACCATTCCTAATTAAAATAAATTACTAGAATAAAACTAAATACTAAAAGTGAAATTATTTTTGTAGTTTTCATTCTTGTGATAAAATAAAGTAAAAGGGTCAAAACTAGTTAAAATAGCTATATTAGACCTAAACTAACTATTTAAACGCTAAAATGTATACAATTTCGGGGAGGATCAAAAATCGTATGTCTACAACTGCCCCTAATTGATTGAAAATACAAAGTATTTTCAGACAAAGAACGACGAGACAAGTTTTTTAACCCGACCATTATTTTGAGACACCAAAAACTAAAAGAAAGGAGAATGTGAGCGAGCTCTGGTATCTGAGCTGCCTACATATCCTCGACTATAAAGGAATCATGCCATGTGTTGTTCAGAAGTAGGAACAGTGATGAAGTGTAGCGAGGTGGAGAGCCGATTGAGGTGTCGTTCCGTCGAGGTTCCGATCCGCGGTCCTATTATTACATCAAAATCAAAAATGAAAAAGACTAACTAAGCTTGTCAACTATGAGTTACAAGATTCCTATCTATAAGTCTTCTAAAGTTTGATCTTGAGTCTTGAATGGTTCTTCATGAAGACTTTAGATTTGAATCTTGACGCTTGCTAGCTGCAGGTGCTAGTTCGTTCTTTTTCAGCTTTTTTGGATCAAGACCGGACATGTAATGCTCGTGACTTTAACTATGTCTTGAGTAGTTCACATCTTTCTCTGCTTCTGCATTTTGGATTCACTTCCCATTTTTCTTTTTTTTTCTTTTTATTCTAGATCAAGACTACTTCTGTTGGTCATCTCGGACTAACGACTTGCATTCTTGTCGCGGGCTTCTACTACTTCTAACTTGAATTGAATTCTGAAATAATTTTCCCCATTCTCCAGGCGGGTGCCTGCTGCTGACTGGAAACTTGAAATGACTTTCATCATTCTTCAGGTGGGCGCCTGCCACTGACCTGAAACTTAATAGGACTCTAAATTGAATTCTGAAATGACTTCCCTCATTCTCCAGGAGGGGCGCCTGCTAATGACTTAAAACTAGAAATGAATTCCTTTGTTCTCCAGGTGGGTGCCTGCAAATGACTTAAACTGAATTCCCTTGTTCTCCAGGTGGGCGCCTGATGCTGACTTAAAATTTGAAATAAATTCTCTTGTTCTCTAGGTGGACGCCTACAGCTTAAACTTGAAATGAATTCCCTTGTTCTCCAGGTGGGCTCCTGATGCTGACTTAAAATTTGAAATAAATTCCCTTGTTCTCCAGGTGGGCGCCTGCAACTTAAACTTGAAATGAATTCCCTTGTTATCCAGGTGGGTTCCTGATGCTGACTTAAAATTTTGAAATAAATTCCCTTGTTCTCCAGGTGGGCACCTGCAACTTAAACTTGAAATGAATTTCCTTGTTCTCCAGGTAGGCGCCTGATGCTGACTTAAAATTTGAAATAAATTTCCTTGTTCTCCAGGTGGGCGTCTGATGCTGACTTAAAATTTGAAATAAATTCCCTTGTTCTCTAGGTGGACGCCTGCAACTTAAACTTGAAATAAATTCCCTTGTTCTGCAGGTGGGCACCTGCAACTTAAACTTGAAATAAATTCCCTTGTTCTTCAGGTGGGCGCCTGATGCTGACTTAAAATTTGAAATAAATTCCCTTGTTCTGCAGGTGGGCACCTGCAACTTAAACTCGAATGAATTCCCTTGTTCTCCAGGTGGGCGCCTGATGCTGACTTAAAATTGAAATAAATTCCCTTGTTCTCCAGGTGGGCACCTGCAACTTAATTTGAAATGAATTCCCTTGTACTCCAGGTAGGCGCTTAATGCTGACTTAAAATTTGAAATAAATTTCCTTGTTCTCCAGGCGGGCACCTGCAACATAAACTTGAAATGAATTCTCTTTTTCTCCAGGTGGGTGCCTGATGCCGACTTAAAATTTGAAATAAATTCCCTTGTTCCAGGTGGCCGCCTGCAACTTAAACTTGAAATGAATTCCCTTGTTCTCCAGGTGGGCGCCTGATGCTGGCATAAAATTTGAAATAAATTCCATTGTTCTCTAGGTGGGTGCCTGCAACTTAAAAACTTGAAATGAATTCCTTTGTTCTCCAGGTGGGCGCAGGTGGGCGCCTGCAACTTAAACTTGAAATGAATTCCCCTGTTCTCCAGGTGGGTGCATGATGCTGACTTAAATTTTTAAATAAATTTCCTTGTTCTCCAGGTGGGTGCCTGATGCTTAAACTTGAAATGAATTCCCATGTTCTCCACGTGGGTGCCTGCCATTTCAACAAAACAGACAAAATAAAGGAAACTTTTCTGCCCCAGTTTGGTACCAGGAACATCTGTGAGTGTTAATCAAATCATGTTATCTAAAAGAGCACTAAGAATTTAAAAGCTAAATTTCATTATCCAGGAGGGCCCTAAAAACTAAAATTATATCTCATCTTAAGAGTGAAAACTTGAAAGCTAAATTCTATTTCCTAAAGGTAAAACTTATGCTAAATCTCATTATCTATGAGGGTCTTAAAAACTTAAAACTAAAGCTCATTATCCAGGAGGGTCCTGACAACTTAAAACTACATCCCATTATTCAGGAGGGTCCTGAAAACTTGAAATTAAATCTCATTATCCAGGAGGGTCCTGACAACTTAAAACTACATCCCATTATTCAGGAGGGTCCTGAAAACTTGAAATTAAATCTCATTATCCAGGAGGGTTCTAAAAACTTGAACTTAAATCCCATTATCCAGGAGGACCCTGATAACTTGAACTTAAATCCCATTATCTAGGAGGGCCCTGAACTTAAGGAAAGCTAAAAACTTTTCTGACTAGGGAGAATGCCTAGGAGGTACGGTTCTTCTCGACTAGGGAAAATGTGTAGGAGGTAAAAACCTTCTTAACTAGGGGAATGCCTAGCAAGTAAAACCTCCTCAAGCAGCCTTTTTGCTGACAAAATGTGGGCACAACACTTGAAAAATTCAAGCTTCCAAGCTTTGATTTGGTCATAGTCTTTGTCGCTATTTCAAACAAAGAAACCTTGTGAGTTCAAACATGGTAGTTGGTTTGTGGCCTTGACTTTGAGGGCGATTACTCCTTCACTTCCCATGATAACTTTGATTTCAACTCGAAAGACCTTGCTCGTTTATTGACTAACCACTTTCTCTGTCACCCTTATCACAAAAAATACCTTTGATCCGTTCAAAACCAACACCCTCTATTTGTCGCATTGCTCATGAATTGACATATACCGAATCTTTTTATTTCACATGAATCCCAAAGCATGTCAATTTCCACCCACTCAGTGCGCATACTGTTCTTTCCTAACTTATGCCGCTTTGATGTGTTAGCCAGATTCTATTTTGTGCAATTGGAAGGTTGGTAGCAAATTTTCAATTCATTTCTCACTTGTTCTAACCAAACAGACTCAAGAAGAGGGAGTAAACAAAACAAAGAGAACAGAGTCAGGGACAACGGAAAGAGACGATACCTAACAAGAAAATTACAAAGTAGAAACTTATGAGATGTGGATACCAACTCTAATAACCATGACATGCACCTTTGGATTAAGTGGCCTAATCTGTCAAGTAAGTCTAATATTCAACTCTTTTTGTACCTCTGAATCGTGAAACTGGGCTTCAATGCTCTGATTATCCTATCTGATCCACGGTCCTTATTCGACTCGTAGTGCCCAAAGGGTTTTCACCATCAAGCCTCTCTCATTTTGTTCTTTCTCTCAACTTACCGTCGCCTTATGGTGCCTGTAAAGGTTTTCACCGATAAGACTCTCTCATTTTTTCTTTTCTTCTTTATTCCTCTGATTCTGCAGATGACAAGGCATTAACCACGCTAGAAATATCATATGCTCCTGGCATGTCCGACTCGGCACTCTTAAAAATTATTTGTGAGGTCTTTTGAACTGTAATGTGTCTTTTGGACAGTGTTAGAAAGAAAGAATATCATAAACGCTCAAAATTACTAAGACAACGGGGTTAATTTATTTACAACTTTTGGAATCCATTCTAAAACTTTGCCGCAATTCTAAAACAAAAGAATTTGATTTTGTTTTTTTGAAGATGGAATTTCTAAGAAAGACTGTCCCACTTTTAACTTCATGGGATTATGAAATATTTTATTTGGAGCGACTGAAGCTTAAGGCTGCCTACGTATCTTGTGGTGACAAGAATCAGGTCGAACGTAGTTCAAAGGGATGTTTTCTTTTTGTTGCTATTCTTCTTTTTTCTTTTTCTCTTTTTTGTTTTTCCTTTTCTTCTTTTTCTATTTTCTATTTTGTGTTTTTTTATTTTTGACTTTTCTTTTAGAATGAACTTTCTAAAAAAAAACCTATGAGGACATGAACTTTCTTTTTATTTTGACTCTAAATTGATTCCAAAATAGGGGAGGTCAATAAAATTAGCATAGGCTCAAAAGGGGTACCGAACGATATAAAGTGTTTGGGTAGCTGAAAGAGGCCTCCCAATCCCTGAAAATGTCAAGTACAACATATGCAACTTGAGAATAAAAAATGAAGAGCATGCACAATATTTCTTTTGCAGCTTCGGCATTGATATCATTGATATACCTTCCACTTTTTTTTAGTGCCTTGTCAAGTATAGAACCTTCGTTGGGTGATTCCCTCTTCATAATGGATATCCTCCGTCAATTCGGAGAAAACTTTCTTGACTTTATCTTATAACTTGAGATGCACTGGAACTCAAAGTTGCTCGCTTCAAATTGTCTGGGATACACTCTCTTTTAACAAATTCTTGTTATTCTATTAACTTCCCAAATTATTTGCTCCAGTTTCACACAGTTCGGGCTTTAAATAATCTC